CCAAGATTGGTATTTACCTTTGGTCTATCAGCAAGTCAAAGAAATTAGTGAATTTGAAAAAAGAAAAAAAGAAGTTGATGAATTCAATTCTAAGAATAAATGGCGTAAAAGGGGTTTGGCACTCATACCAATCAATTTTGGAGTCGCGTTTCCTTTAGTGTTTTTGAATCAAGCTGGTGCTTTAGTACATATATACCTCGACGGGAGTGTTCTTATAAGTCATAGTGACTATCATTTTTTGTTCTTATATTTTTATTCACTTTCTTTATGAATTTGACTGTTGATTGTCATATATTTTATATTTAGGTGGGATTGAGTTGGGACAAGGGCTTAATACAAAAATGTTACAGATTGCTAGTGAGACTTTAGATGTTCCTATGGATACAGGCAAAAAATTTTTTATGACATTTGCGTTATATACCATATACCTAGTAAATATTGTCTGGTAATCTAACATAATTTTCCAAAAAATAGTTCATTTATTGGAAACTTCCACAACAACTACTAGTAATATGTCACCTACTGCTGGAAGTACTAGTAGTGATCTTAACGGACATGCTGTTTACAACGCTTGTAAAATTTTGGTAGAAAGGTTAAAACCATATCGTGAGAAGATGCCGGATAAAAGCTTCAAAGAGGTATTTCACGTTCAAATATTACATGACATTAATAATTTTAATAGCAAAAATACATAATTTTTATACTTAAAATAAATTTAGATTGTTGGTATTGCACACCTTGACCGAGTCAATTTATCAGCCAATGGATTCTATAAAACACCAGATATCAGTTATGATTTTGAAAAAAATGAAGGGTTAATGTTCCCTTATTATACAACAGGTGCAGGATGTTCAGAGGTTGAGATTGATACATTAACGGGTGACCATACAATCTTAAGGACAGATATATGTATGGATATTGGTAGAAGTTTAAATTATGCATTAGATGTTGGACAAATTGAAGGAGGTTTTATGCAAGGTGTTGGATGGCATACTCTTGAAGAAAGTTTACATTTTCCAAATGGTCATTTACTTACTAAAGGACCTAAAGAATATAAGATACCTGGGGCTAGGTTTTTTATTTCTCTTTTGATTGCTTTATTTTATTTCATGTAGATTTTAATTCTTGTCTGTTTTAGGGATTTACCTCAAGATTTTAGGATATATACATATGAAGGTGCAAAAGTATCTAATTTAAATTCAATTCATGGCAGTAAAGGAATTGGTGAACCACCGTTGCTTTTAGGAAATACAGTATTTTTCGCTATTAGGGATGCTATTAAAGCTGCAAGGTATTTCAGTTTGTTTTAAAGTATCTTTTTAAGTGATTTATCCAATTATTTAATTAATTATTTCTTTATCTATTTTAAAAAAGAAAATGTAATAATAATAATACACCGGTAGTTTTAAGATCACCCGCAACACCCGAAAGAATTCGAATTGCTTGTGATGATGAAATTGTGAGGAATTGTAAGGTTGAGAAAAAAGACGGAGAACTTCCATGGGTTGTTGGAGATTAGATTCAATAGCCATCATTGTATTTAATATAGCTTTTTTTTTTTTTCGAAACTCTATTAAAGATGTTTCAATTTGTTGGTT